CATGTTTGTTACACATGAAAAATAATCCATCGTCAGCTTTTTTCTGCAATCCTTCTTCCACTTCGTTAGCCTCTTCAAGCATTTTTGTGCAATTAACACCGTTGCTGGAAGAATTGAATAGAGTAACAGTCGTCTCGCAATTTTTTTTTCGTTGCCGGTGTAGCGTTGCACGAAGTATAACTCAAGTCTACTAGCATTCGCAACACATTGCAGCAACGTGCAACCCCATATCACACTGTACTACCCCTCCATATTCCCTTCAGAAACTTTTGTCGCTTCAACCTGAGAACATGCGMAATTTCTAATTTCCATGTCCGCCATCTTTATTCTGGCTACCTTACCTCAGCCACAAAATATTGCAGTCACATGGTAATGAYTTTCTCGACAACCTGTGTCGCAACCACGTTGAAGACAAGCTGCTGATAGATAAACCTGAACAGTGCAACAGCGCCTTAATGTCCATGGAGGGTCCTGAAGGGGTGAATTGGGAATTCATATGGGAGATTGCCTTTATTCGAGGCTGGGAATTGGGATTTGCCCATTGGGATTGGGATTTGTCCATTGGAATAGGAATGGGATTTGGCTATTTCCTGTCCATGTGTTTTCTCTATAGATGCTAACTAATGTTTTAAATTGAGTAATTTGCAACATTTTACGTCGTTTTAGTAGACTAGAAGAGAAATCGTACTATCTTAGGCTTTGCGACTTGCGCGAAATTTCTTTTCGTTCCAAAATGGCGTGCAGTATTTCCCATGAAGGTAAACATACCCGAATGTCACCTATTTTACACTTCATTTAGTTAAAGGGCATATTGATACTACATTTTTATTACTACGCCTCGAATTGATATTTGTCACTTGGGAATTGGGAATTGGGAAAATGTTTCTGGGAATTGAGATTTTGATAAAAACTTAATTCGGAACAGAGATTGGATACCCCCCTTCAGCACCCTTCTCTATCAGTAACATCGTTTATCGGAACGAATGGCATTTTTCTTCTTTATATTTTCATTCGGCATWTAATTTCTTTAGTAACGGAATATCAATCCTAAATTATATCTCTTTTTTACAACTCTTATATTTAACATRTAATTCTGATAAACTATTGAATTATTTGAGATCAACAAAGACCCTTTAAATATGAATAGAAAAAAATGTGTCAAAGATTTGAATATATCACTGTCAAAAATTTATTTGTCAAATATCTTAATTTAAATCACTTTCTTCTGGAATTAAGTTCTTAATTAGAGGAAAAATTAGTAACAGTTATTGGTTCTCAGATGGAGTAACATTGATTATTCTGCTTTGCTGTAAAGAGGAGGAATCGGCCTGTTCGGGATCATCAAATGTGAATGCAGGATTATCCATTGAAAACCTTACTGAATTATCTCTCTTTTCCTCATGTTTTTTCTTTGATGATTGAGAATCGYTTTCATCRTTTTTGCCCTCTTTTYTCGAGAGAATTCCCTGTTTTCTCGAGGACTTTCGAAAAGAACCGAAAGTGAATGGCCATGTTTGTTTTGCAGGTGGCACGACTTCCTGTGCCTCGATGGCCAGACAATTTCCATACTCCGCAATGTTATCGTTGTCTTTCTTTAAAATGGGTCTCTTGGAATTGTTTTTTATGCTCTCACTTTCTTTATTTTCAAGTAAAACATTTGTATTCGATGATTCGCCTGTGACAATACCGCCATCATTGTCGTTATTTGACGTTATGTCTGTATTGATGTCAGCTTTCTCACKGAGCTCCAGCTGGTCGTTCTCTTTCTCCTCTAACGCTTCTTCGATGAGATCTTTCTCTTGGACAATATTTTCCAGGCTAGAGTGTTTCCATTTTGTGCTGCCAGTAAGATCCATTGATGATGTTTCGCCGTAACAACATCTCATATTGATATGATTTGGTGGTATTTCTGGTAAGCRGCCAGAGCTCGCTAAATGAATCATGTGAATCCATCGATGTCTTTGCAGATTTGAATCGCATTTAAAATAATGTATTCCCTCGCTTGTCGATAGTCGAAATCTAAAACTATAAGTTCTTCGTTTGAGTAAGATACATTTTGATCCATGAGGTAGCCAAATGATTTCACAAAAATCTACATCTTTACAATCCCTCGATACATACAAGTACATCTTGGTGCCTCTCAAAATAGCCCAGTACTGAATCCAATTGTTTTGGATTTCTCGTTTCTTGATGAATTCTTCATAATACAGCAACTCTTCCATGATCTGCTATAACAGACTTCGCTTTCATCGCTTCATCTCTGATTTGCTATGGTCGCGAAAGATCCAAAATAACCACAAACACGCTGTCACAAGGAAACACAATTAAGTTATGTATTGCGTGACGTACAAGAATGCGTCAATCGCCAAACTAGTCAACCGAGRACAGGCTATGAAAAGTCACGCCAACTCAGAGGTAGCCTGCGTTTCATCCGGTTTATTTCGCCAAAATAACCGTGGTTCTTTTCGGTTCTTTCGGCAAATAAAACCGGATGTAACGCAGGTCCAGCGTGAATCAGATCTTCATTTCGTACTAGTAAAATAGTATAACTGTATCTTTATAGGTAGGCGTACGATGACGTAGTCTGCTTACATCCAAAATATAAAATTCAAAAAATAAGCAATCTGAACTCATATAATTCAAGATTATATTAATGTCAACAAAACCTGAAAATTTTAGCGCAAAAGCCTTTTTACATTTCGAGATATCGGCATTTCAAAACTACAAAACATTCAGTGATTGGCAAAATAATGCCAACCACGGTCATTTCTTTAGAAAATCTTGCAAACTCGGCGCTTGATATCTCTTGAAATATTTAACCAATTGCCTTCAAATTTGCAGGAATTGTTAAAAAGTATGAGTTCTTTTTATTTATGGGCTTGATTTTCTTGTGTCTTGAAATTCGATTTCTGACTTTTATGCAAATTAGCTAAAACGTAAACATTGCCGCCCACCTATAAGGAGCGTTTAATATTTTTGGTTTGGACGAAAAGGGAGCAGCATTTCTTGTGACTAYACTTTCATAACTAATATAGCCCCCTCCCCCTTAAATAAATAATGAACATACCTTTTCCCTTTATTTCGACCAATTGAAAGAAGATGCACTATTTATTCACAATATTCACCATTTGCAAAATAAGTGTATTTCACCAAGACACAGAACCCAGAGTCTTCCTGGATTCCGGATTGTCAAGGACTCTGGATTCCATCTTACTGGATTCAAAATGCAAAGTTTTGAAAGTCACTAAGGACACTATTCCATATTCAGAAGTCTGACAGGTCATACCCAAAGAGAATCATTTCAATAATTCCTATTCTATATTCCATCCATAGCTATGATGGAAAACTTTGAAAATTACTTTGAATTCAGTTGACTAAAAGGATTGATWTACTTTCAACATGCTCTAAATAGACTTGTCTGACTGTCAGTTTTGTCCAAATGGAAAGAACCTTAATTTTTACTTAGGATTCCTTCCTTGTTTTATTGCACTCTGTTTCCATTGCCATGGATTCTTTGAACCAAGTGCAAATTGATGTCTAGCGTTCTCTTCAAAAAGTATTTTCTACAATCTGAGTTATATCCATTTGTAGAAAACATTTATTTCGTACATCACACACTTGGATTGGTGACTACACACACATATTATTGTTTTGGATTAACAGATATTATTAAAATATTATTAATATTACTATTATTATTATTATTATTATTATTATTATCAAAATAGAGCTAATTGCATGATCAAAATTAAAAACAATAAAAAATAAATAAACATAACAAATACAACATTTACAAATAGGAATATTGATAAAAACAGAAAAAGACTAGTTCAGCTACATTGATTTTCCTCTGAATGCAAATCTGTCAACTTCCTTTTTGAAGGTGATCTTATATATAGAATTCTCATTATAGTGGATTGCACAAAACACTGCAATACTTGCAAAATTCATGCAAGACTTGTCGATCATCTTTATTTAGTCATGATCAATTATTCAAAATTCAAATATTTCCTGATTTATCATTCCAAAACACAAAACTATATGTTTCAAAGATCATACAAATATTTTTTCTTATTTTTAAAGTGCTARTTGCATGAAAATGGTCTTATTTCAAAACTTCAAGCAATACAAATATATATAACTCATTTATATCTATTAAAAACAATTGCGGGATAATATTTGTTTTGGAATTATCCCACATCAGAGAAATTTTGATTCAAAAGATGGAAGAACAAAAGGATTGAGTAAATGACGTCATCTACACCAACATTTTTTGCCCAAATTATTAAGGATTTGTATCAATATCTTCTTGAAATCTGTTKYTTCATGATTATTAGACCCATATGGATAGGTCTATTTGATTTCCAAGTCTTTTCTAATGTTTTGCAATTTTCGTCCAAGTAGCCCTTTAAGTAAAGCTGTTTTAACAATATTTAATTTTTTTTAAATTTTAAGGCATCAAATGAAGTTGTTCTGTACAAATTTTTAAAATAAATCTCTTAAATCTAGTATGTAACCTGCAAATTTTTGTGAAATCCACTGTAATTATGTTAAAGTTCTCTAAAAAAAATTTTTAATTTCATTACAAGACAATTTTAACATTCCAGACACCTTTTAGCTGTTTCTCTTTGTACCTTTGTTATAGCTATATGCTGAGAACTAATCACTAGCAATAACATGAACCATTCTCTTGAGGTTGTCGTAAATCTAGTGATTCCTCTGTAGAGGGGTGGAAAGCATCATTCATTGGTTTAGATGGTGAGATTTGATGCTTCATCAAATGTCTTGCTATATCATCAAACATTTCTTTGATTCCATCACCAGTCTTTGCAGACACACAATACTTTTCAACAAAATTYCTGCCCTCTACAAACTTTTGTGCTTTGTCTTCTGAAACCTCCCAGTCATCTTTATCCACATCACTTTTATTGCCAACYAAGAATTTAATGGCATAGCTTGCATAATGTTCAACATCTTCAATCCAGTGTGAAATCATGTTCAGTGATGTCAGATCTTCCACAGAGTACATAAGCAACACAGCATGAGCTGCATGATAGTAATGCGATGTGAGGGAACCRGTTCTTTCCAAACCTGCAGTATCCCAGATATAAAGCTGACAATAATAATAGTATTTCAAATGAAAGAGATAAGAACATTATATTATTCAAACTGTTATAAAGTAAACTATAAGATTTTCAATGATCCTCATTTTGTAATCTAAACATCATTTGATTGGCTGTTWWTWWWA